ATAGATAGATAGATAGATAGATAGATAGATAGATAGATAGATAGATAGATAGATAGATAGATACTTCACTCCCCCCCCACATTTTGGGCTTTTTAAATACTGAGTAACTCTCAACCATCTGTTGTTTCGAAGTGCAGAGTACATCAATGAACATATGGGCTGCCTTCTGAACCAGCTGTAGTGTAGTTAAAGTTATAATAAGAGCTTTTTTTGGAGTGGGGGAAGGAGATCCAATTGCATTAAAAACTTGGCTCACTGAAACATCTGTGACAAGCTATAGAGCCTTTCGCAGCACTAAAAACTAATACACATTTGTCATTTTATAACACATTTCTTAAAAAAAAAAAAAAAATTTCTACCCCCTTATTTATGGCTGTAAAGATTAAAATAAACTGTGTTATTTTTCGGTGTCCTGGCTAATATTTCTCTCTCTTCCAAACCTAAGTTTGACGTATCCAGTTCCAGAAATTCGGTACCTGACAGCTACTGTGTTTCCCCCGAAAATAAGACCCTGTCTTATATATATATTTTTGCCACCCAAAAAAGGCACCAGGTCTTACTTTCAGGGGATGTCATCCACTGACTAATCTCACTTGCGTGCATCGGCCCCCGGCCTCCTTTTCGCTGTCAAAGGCCTTCAGGAACTTCTTCTGCTGCAGCGGGCAAGGCTTTCCTGGAGGCCTTTGCAGCCTCAGGATCGATCCAGAGCTTTGTTATCAACCCCAGAGGCCTTCAGGAAAGCCTTGCCAGCTGCAGAAGAAATGGTCTGGCGAGGCAGGTGTCGGAGTGTGCGAGGCCTGGCTACCACTGTCCAAAGGTAAATAGTAGGGCAGCTCCACCCAACCTCCATCCCCATCCTAGGTTAATTTTTACCCCTCCACTCTGGAGTGGGAGGGATCTTAATTAGGGCTTATTTTGGGAGGTAGGGCTTATATTGGGCACACATGTAAAAACCAAGCTGGGACTTACTTTCAAGGTAAGTCATATTTTTGGGGAAACAGGTTAGTTAGGACTGCGATTTTGTGAGTGACCCAAAAGACAGCCATCTTTAACTTAGAAGGCCAAATCTTCTTTATGAAAGCATTTGATGCAAACATTTTAAGGTTTGCTTTGACATGGGGTGCATAAAATCTGGCTGAGATTAATTAAAGGGTAATGTTCGAGAGAGAGAGAGAGAGAGAGAGAGAGAGAAAGAACTGTTGGATCCAAACAAATATTGATCGAGACACATAACATACCTTTATCTGGGTGGTTCAGAATCATGATTTTCCGGTGAGCATTTCTAATCTTGGCCTTGCCAGCAGATGGACTGTAAAATATATATATTTAGAGCGCTTAGCATAAATCAGGAGTCTTGCAGGCAGAAAACTAGCCAATTTGCATTGCTTCAGAAAACATAAAATGCCATCTGGTGGTGAACGCGAGTACTACATCTTTTCAAGAACTTTTAAAAAAGAAACCTGGGAGAATAGACTAGAATGCAGAATAGAATAGAATGCAGAATAGAATAGTATAGAATACAGACTAGACTAGAATATAGAATAGAATAGAATGCAGACTAGAATAGAATACAGAATAGAATAGAATGCAGACTAGAATAGAATAGAATGCAGACTAGAATAGAATGTAAATAGAATAAATAGAATAGAATATAGAATCGAATGCAGACTAGACTAGAATAAAGAATAGAATAGAATAGAATAGAATAGAATAGAATAGAATAGAATAGAATAGAATAGAATAGAAATTAAAATAGAATAGAATAGAATAGAATACAGAATATGATATATAGTAGAATAGGAGTAGAGAAGAATAAAATTATTGGGATATTTTAATAGTCAACTGCACAACAGGGACATTTCTATCTGCTCTGTTGTTTTTTTCTTGAATGAAGTATCATAATTTCTGTGTTACATTTAAACCTGTGAACATTTTAAATATTATCAGAGTTAATATTCTGAATTAATATATAAAACCTGTATTAACCATTTCCATTCCCATTCCTCTTACTGTGTTTAAACGCCATCGTTTTACTCTGCAGCATACCCTGAATAACGGATTCAAAAGACACTGTGTAAAAAGACCCAAGTTCAACTATACAGGTGCTCCTCGACATACAACTACAATTGAGCCCAAAATTTCTCTTGCTAAGCGAGACAGTTGTGGAATTTGTTATGCCCCATTTTACGATGTCCCTTTGCCACGGTTGTTAAGTGAATCACTGCAGTGGTTACATGAGTCACACGGCTGTTAAGTGAATCGTGGCTTCCTTATTGACTTTGCTTGTCAGAAGGTCACAGTGCAACCGTCATAAATATGTGCCAGTTGCACAATGTGTTCCCTCCCTGTGTTCCCTTCCCATCTCAATTCCTCTTCTCCTGTTTCAATGCTATTATTGTTCTGACCAAGGCTTCCGAGACCGTAATTACGCACCCGCTTATTTCAAAAACAAGTCTTGTTTTATTGTAACGCTGGGAATTGTTTTCATTCCCAGCCGGTAATTAATCTCAAACAGTCCCTCAAGATAAGCACCCACCTTTCTTTCCTGTGAAGTGCTGCCAATAACAGAAGTGTCGAATGAACTAGAAAAGAAACCCAACCGAAGTACAAAGAGCTTCAAGAATGAATCTGAACTGAATGAACTACTTTGCTTCCTGCAAAGGTTTCGTCATTGAGGTCTGACTTTTATCCCTTATGGGAGGGGCAATCACTTCCCAGCCTTACTCCTGAGTCGCCCCTTTTGTCTCAGCTGCTCTCGCCTTCTAGCAGCTCTGCACACATGCGCACTGGGAACAGGCTCCCCTTCTTCCTCTGCCTCGCTGCTGACAGACTCCAGAGGCTCCGGAGTCAGCACCCCACTCCCAGATGACCCTGGCCCCATCTCTTCATCGGATGCAGGACCCTCGTCCGAGTCCTCTCCAGACTCCTGGACTGGTCCCCGTTCTTCCCCACTGTCCGATTCCGCTGCCGTCTGCACAGGCTGCCAGCAAACCACAACAATTATTTTATTTTGTGGTGTATCTTGAATAACAGATTCAAAAGACACTGTATAAAAAGACACAACTGGATTTCCAAAGTGCACAAGGACAGCTGTTTTTGGAATGCCCTAGAGCTGTTGAGCAGAAAGTTCTGCTGGTAAATTCCCACACCGTTATCTCTTTCAGATAAATCTTCTTTTCAAAAGACTTACCTTTTGGCATTTAACACCCAGACAAGTTGTCAAGAAGGTATAAAGGAATTTCACATGAAATGTTGGGAAAGCAAATGTAAAGAAAGAACCTTTTATCATTTATGGAGGACATGTGAGAAAGCGAAGAAAGATCGGAGTAGGATTCCTATTCTAACACGTAAAATTCTTAAAGTGAACCTAAAGAGAAAACCAGAAACTTTTCTTTTGAGTTTAATGGAAACAAATATAAACACAGGTGGGTTATATACATACTTTTGCATTTATTTATTTATTCTGTCATGTTCGTGTAGTGTAAAATTGAAGGTGGTGATCCTTTGAGAGCTGTAGGCAATGAAATTTTGTTTATAATGTATGCCAATTAGTGTGCATTCAAAGTGACAATAAAGTTAGTCTATTAATTTTTTCTATTCTGAAAGACTTGGGAAATCTGTTTTATAGATTTTTTTCTTTAATATACATAAGTGCTTAATAAATAATACATTGTCTGAGTCAACTTAGTTATAATAATAACAAATATATTTTTTTTTTTGCTTAAATATATTTCATCATTTTCTTATCCATAGTAATAGTCTTACATCTTCTCATTTCTACCTCTACTATCTTACCATTGAGAGAACAAATCCCACGTTAAGAAATATTCTATATTTTCCTTGTTCTTTATCTTTAATATCAATCTGTCCATTTCCTCAATCTAGTATTTTTTAAATAGTATATTTTCATCTGTAGGAATTTCCTCATTTTTCCAATATTGTGCAAATACAATTCTCGCTGCTGTCAAAATATGTAATATTAAGTATGCATTCCCTTTATTATATTCTTCTGGTATTATATCTAAAAAGAACATTTCTGGCTTTAAATCTATATGTTGTTTTATCATTTTTTCTAACCATGTATGTATTTTCAAGGTTTTTTTCTTTTTTTGCCTTAGGGCATGTCCACCACATATGATAATAAGAACCCAGTATGATTACATTTCCAACACTGATGTTATATATACGTTGATGGCAGCAAGATTACTTTATGCACAAAAATGGAAGGACATTTTGATCCCCACAATGGACGAAGAAGGGTTGCAAAAGTTGGTGGAGTTAGCAGAGACGGCTAAATTGTCTGCTTTGATCCAAGAAAAAAAAAATTGTGTGTGTGTGTGTGTATTTTCTTACTTGGAAACCGCTTCTGGACTTTGTGCTTGAGGGGGGGAAAATGAAACTTTAATTTTGGGTTTTATCAATTAGATAGATCTGTTGTTATAGAACTGGCTAGTTTAAACTATTACGTAAAAGTAAAACACGGAGCTTTGATGTTATTATCTTATTCTACTGCACCAAAGGGAGTCAATGCCTTTTCTTTCTTTCTTTTTTCCCTTCTTTTTCACACTTTTCCCTTCCCTATTTTTCCTACTATTTGCTTTTATGGGGTTTTTTTGTATGTTATAACATAAACTAATAGCAATTGTTCACTTTTTAAAAAAAAAAAAGACAAAAGGCTTACCTTATGCCTAAAATAAGACTAGCTTCCCGAACATTCATTTTCGATTCGAACCCGCCTTTGTAATACGAAGAAACGGTCTGTGAACAAAATAAAAAGGGAGAATTTTAGAGGAAGAGCAACTCTACTCTACTCTACTCTACTCTACTCTACTCTACTCTCTGCTCTGCTGCACCCTGCGCCGCTCTATCCCATCCCACCCTTATATCCAACCGGGAGAAAGAGAAGCCTTTTTATTCCTTCATTGGGTGACTTCAAGGTTCTCGCTGGGCCTGCTGAAATTTGGGGAAAGACCGTTTGGGAATCAAAGAGTAAAAGAGGAACGCGCTTGTCTCCCGTTCCTTTTCCGCTCCTCGGCCGGGTGGGGAAAAGGCTATGGATCCTCTTGTACGATGAAACCCCGATTTTTACTGAGCGATCAGGAGACACAGGTGTCCCTTAATACCCATGCAATGTGACTTTTTTTTTTTTTACATAATTAAGTTAATTTACATTATGCGGTAATTGATGTAATTTAGTCACTGGCGTGCTTTTGTTCATTTGTGAAATTAACACCATTTCGGGAGTGGTGTAAATAGACACAAATGAAGTTAACGGCGACGATTGGGGAATTATGCAGAGGGTGAAGTCCGTGCTGAGAAGTCATCCATCTCACCCCAAATCCTCCGAGTTTCACTGTGCGGGTAGTCCTCGACTTACAATAGTTTACTTAGTGACTGTTCAAGTGGCCTAGAGGGGGAGCTCTCGCCTCCCAATCAGGAGGCTGTGAGTTCGAGCCTAGGCAGAGGCAGGTATTTGTCTCCCTGGGCAGGATGAGAATATATCTGCTGAACAAAACTCTGCCCTGGGGATAGGAAGGGCATCCGGCCAGTAAAACTCGCTGCTAGCTCCGTTCATTTGCCCAGACTCCGCCCCGCAAGGGATTATGGAGTTGCTAAATGAAGATGATGACTTAGTGCGCGTTCAAAGTTACAACGGCACTGAAAAAAAGGGGCTTACAACCATTTTTCACACTTAACGACCACTGCAGCGTCCTTAGGGTCACGTGACCAAGTCTTAGCACCTGACTCGTATTTATGACGGTTGCAGCATTCCGGGGTCATGTGATTCCCCCTTTGGTGACCTTCTGACAAGCCGACTCCATGGGGGAAGCCGGATTCACTTAACGACCATGTTACTCATTTAGCCATTTCAACGATTCGCTTAACAACCGTGGCAAGAAAGGTTGTAAAGTGGGGCAAAACTCACTGAACAAATGTCTCACTTAATAACAGAAATGTTGGGCTCGATTGAGGACGTAACTCAAGGACTACCTATAGGTAGAATCATCATATTCACATCTCTTTTCACACATCATCTTTATTTTATTTTACTTCTAACTTCCATTTTTATTATTTAACCATTGACAGAATAGGTCCCATAACCATATAATCACGATGGCGAAGCTATGGCATGTGTGCCATGCAGAGCCATTTGTGCAGGCACGCGAGCCCCAGGCAAACTTACCTCATTGCGCATGCACGCGCCTCCCAGCTCATTTTCAGGCCTTTTTCGGCCTGAAAATCAGCAGGGAGGTGCGCGCATGCGCAATGCAGGTAAGGGGGGGGGCGCACACGCGTCAGAAGTCCGTGCATGCACAGAAACGTGCGGTGCATAGGTGGGTGGGTGGGTCGCACACACATGCGCAGGGGAGCGGGGCATTCATGTGCGCAGTGCTTTATGGGCACAGGCACATGTGTGCGTATGCGCGCGCACGCGCACACTTTTGGCACGTGAGGACAAAAAGGTTAGCCATCGCTGGTGGAGGTATCCTGCTTGACCCTCACCTGATTTGACCCACGTCTGACCCATCACAAGCAGTGGTGGGTTTCCAAATTATTTTCCTACTGGTTCTAAAATACAGGGCTCAAATACAGACCTCTGCCAATGCTGGGGAACTGCCTGAACTGGTTTTTTTAGCTCAGCTGAGGCGCAGCAATCACGCAAATCAGCTGAGCTTC